TCGATCTTGGATTATTTTCCCGCTCTAGCGTTATTCGAAAATTGATTATTCTCGAAATGTAAAAATATCGAAATATGACATATACAACGAAAATATGTACGTGTATATATAGGAAAAAATTGGATATAACGATACGCGATGGATTATTATTCGAGTAATTATTTAAGTAAAAATAAGGTGACGTAACAGCATGAGACCTGTATCGAGAAAAAAAAAAGAAAGAAAGAAAGAAAGAAGAAGAATCGATTACCTCCGATGTTTAATAACTATAGCTTTAAAAAAAGAGACCAAATATGTGAAGAAGAGTCAAATATTCTCTTACGAAGGGTCAGTTTTAAGAAATCCCGAATTAAGCAATTTTTGAGAAAAAAAAAAAAAAAAGGAAAAAAAAAAAGAAGGAAAGAAAGAAAGAAAAAGAAAATATCAGTAGCACACGCGATTGTTTTGAAGCGATTGTAGTATATCTGTATATATATATATACATATATGTATGTACTTATTTAGATTAAAATTCTGATCATGTTGATCTAAAGCGGATCAGTGCTATATTGAACGATCATTTGATCGACGAAACAACTTTGACGACGAAGCAACTTTCCTATTTATCATTTGCAAATTGACATGGGAAATGAGTGAGAATGAAGATAATTATATGAAAAATTGTTATCTAACGAAAAAGTTCGTGTCTACGACGATGACCAATATTAATATTTATCGCCAATAAATTCCAGTTTATTAGTTTAACATATGTATAGATATATATATATATATATATATATATATATATATATATATATATATATACATATGTATATATATATATATAAAACTGCATGAAAATATATCATCTGTTATCATTTATTAAAATATCACGAAACAAAAAAGATAAGATTAAATTTGATTCGACGATTTTTCATTTTTTTGATAAATTCTAAAAGTTAGGTTTGTAATAAAAATATAAAAAAGAATTCACGCATGTTATATCGTTACGTTCGATTGCGATAATTAATAATTAATAATTTATAAACTTATAATAGTTAAATATTAATTTTAAACAAGGAAGGAAGGAAAAAAGGATATTTTTACGTTACACGTATAGTAACTCTTTATTTATTTAAACGTAAATAAAATAGAAATCGTGATTTTTATATGATCTCTAAACGAGCATATCCGATAAAAAATGTAATTTGTATTAAAATACTATTAACGTTGATATTTTTTTTATATCGATAATTTTGTATAGTATATATATCTAAGAATCACGCAAATTATATAATTTAGCGTATAAATACGTAAACGAGAAATATGATCTGTTGATCCTAACAATTCAAATATACTAAATCCTTTTCGCTACATATATATCACTCCAATTTCAATATTTTTCATATCGTTCAAAAAAATTTTATTCCTAATCGTATATCGAATAATTATACCGTCTTTTAACGGTCATCTATTCCGTTCTTCTTTTTCTTGACAATATCAATATTATTGTCGATACGAAATATTCGATAAATAGATAAAGAAATACCATGGAATATCAATGGAATACTACATGTAAATGGAAAAAATGGAAAAATAGATCCTATCCTTAAACTTTTGTAATCAATTTCCCTTCATCTAGATAAATGTACGAGACTACTTTTTTCATCGGATTAATTCCATTATTCATACTGTATCGATTTTATTTCAATCAAACTGAACAGTAAAATATAATATTTATAGATATTTATTATGCTCGGTATTATTTTATGTCCTTTAATCATATCTGAATTATAAATAACGTATTTAGATTGTAGACAACATAATGTAATAAACGTTTATTTTGTTATATACGTAATTTTTCATAGATTATATAGTTTTGAATATTAATCGAAGAAAAAAGAAAAATATATAATTTGTGAAATTTCATCGTTTGATTTTTACAAATTATGATAAATTATTCAAAATCGTTAATAAAAAATATATATGTATATGTTATACATACGTGTAAGTATTTATATATACTTATGTATATTTGTCCTATATAAGGTTATGTTCACAAAACGTATTACAAACGCAAGAAATAATATCAAGTTACATTATACATATAAGTTTACACATTGATATTAAAGTGATTTAATGTATATCGATTCTTAAATTTCACGGTACAAATTGTCAACTGGAGTATCGGAATATCGATTTCAAATGTAATTCGCTCGATATAGGAATCAAGCGATATAATCACTTGATTAGTGAATAAGATATAGCTATATGTATATTTAAAATTAATTGCACAATTTTGAGAAATGATTTTCTATATGAATCAAAGAGACGTTAAAATTAATTAGACGTTAGAACTGTCTTTTGAACATATAAATTTTATAGAATAATCAAGAAACAAACAAGGAAAACAAATAATGGGAGAAAAACAGAGATAGGGTAAAAGTATTGAAGTCAGTGCCATCTTCAGAGTGTCACAAATAAAACACAAAAAGTAAAGGCAGAGAATAACAGGAGAAGGATAGAGATGAGATAAGAATTAATCATCGGCGCCATCTCTCGAGTGTCAAAGACATTTTTTTCAATTATCTTTTTAAAAGTATTCGCGAGATGGTACTAATGATTCATGATCAATTACTTGTTCTATCTTTCTCTTACTGTTTTCTATCCTTTCTTTTTATGTTTCATCTGCGGCACTCTGAAGATGGCGTTGATTTCAATATTTCTACCTTATTTTCGTCCTTGTCTCATAATCTTCTTTCCTTGTCTATAATTTCCTGTAGCGTGACAACAGACGAGGTACGGGATGTCAATTGAACACATTTTCGTTTCCTTTTTTTTTTTTTTAAGTTTTAAAGATTTAAATTGTAATTTAGATTCTTATAAATAATTTGAGACTAATATTTTTGAACAAATAATATTCCCGTTTATTTAAATAGATGATGTAGTGTATATACATAATTATCTTTTTCAAAGTTGTTTGTAATTATCAGACGAAAGAAAATATTCGAGAAAAATTAGTCTTAAATTATTTCTAAGAGTTTAAGCTTTAATTCGATATATTAAAAAATTTAGTCCAGAAACCAAGCAATTCGATTCTTTTTATTTTTACTATTGGAAAATTAATTCTTCAAATTTAACAATCGATAAAAATATATATATAAAAAAATGATGGATTATTCGTATATATTATTTAAAAGGATATTGAAATTAATACTATCATATACATATATATATATGTATATATATATATATATTTTTAGGTATATTTTTCTTGTACACATTATTTATACAATTAATGTTTTAGACATCAATTACATTTTTTGCACAATCATGTAAAATCACAATTTTGAAATAAACTGGAATTATCTTAAATTATGTAAATTTTGTACCAGATCATTTTGTACATTAAGTTAGCATATTAATCGAACATATTGGACATTTTTATCACTTTCTATAGTCCATCACTCATTTAGACATACTATAAAAGTGTGTAAAGTTCAGAAATAAACAATTTTTTCATGTATTACTTTATCTACATTAACGATCATATAAATCTAATATTCTAATTTTTATTGTATTAATTTTATAAATTTAATATCTTATATTTCATGCTTTTATGTTATTTTCAATATGTACAAATAAAATATATATTTTACGACAAATTTTATGTCATGATTTATAAATAAAAAAATTACATGTATACAGGATGAGACATTATTAGAAAAAAAAACAACAAATATTTCTTCCATTTATTATTGTACTAAAGAAGAACAAAGTTACGATATTTGAAGAATACGTGTAATAAGCATCCTATTTTTTTTATGAAATTTTAAATGCAGAAAAGAAAACATTTATAAGAATTGAGAAGAATTTTTTTCATCATTTCACGTATACCTTCAAACGGTATAACATTATTCCGAATTTTTTGGCACAATGACAAATAAATAAAATATTTTGATATTCTTGTGCGACTCATCCTGCATAATAATGGTACTGTTAACAAAAGATTTAAAGTTAATCTCGCATCAGTTTGCACATGATTTATGATTACTTAATTCTACATCTGTGTATAATGCATTGCATTTGCTATATGCATGTTACAATATACACTGTCAATTCTTTATATATTTTTGTATTATTATGAAAAAGAGTACATATAGATATATAGATTATTAAATTAAAATCAATAATCGATATTCAACGGATTTTTACTTTAAAGTTTATAAATTTTCTTTCAAAAAATCGATAGCTTAAGCAAATAGAAAATAGAAATTATAAATTAAATTTATATTATAGCGTTTGAGCTATATCTTCAACTGTTTTTAAAGACTTAATCTATTATTAAGAAATTGGTGTTTAATGTTCCCTTATATTCCATATGTACTTCTTTTTTTTTAGTACATACTAAAGAATTGCACATTGTATTATTTTCTCGTGTAAACTACATTCATCTTTTTCACAGCCTTCTTGTGAAAATATAATTTAAAATGTAATTTTAATACATTGTATTTTAGCATATATGTTAGATATGCTTTTGTCATACGACTACCTTTATAATAGAGAAAAAAAAATTTACATTACTAAAAAAATTCTTCATTTTTTTATCCATATGCTAGAATATTATTTCAAAAATTTGAAACAATTGTTTCATAGATTTAGCAATATCTATATACAATTGATATTCATATATACAAAATTTAATATATCTTGCACTCGATTAAAGAGTAATTATTCTCTTTAAAAGTGCACTTTATCTTTTGTTACTGTTATGTAAAATTCTGAACCATATCTGTCTTTGAAATACAAATGTTATTAACATTATTTTCATCTCGAATATTTTCACTAGTATTATCATTATTATTGCAAATGCTATTATTTTTAGATTCTTCGCTAAATCTTACATTGTCAAATTTTATATCTATCGAGCTCTCTGTTCTTGATACGCTACTACTAATATTTGTATCATTCAATCCCAAATTTACATCTACGGAAGATTCATTTTTGGATTCCGGGCTAAAACAAGAATTATCAACATTTGTTACAGATTTACATTCAGAATTTGGTTCTGAATCTACATAAATCGATTGTGGTGAAAACAACTGTTCAAGTTTAGGGAATTCATCTTCGTTCGTTTCTGTCGATTCGTTTAACTTTTTCGTTAATTCTGCCCAAGGATCTTCTAAAAAAGATTTCATATCTAAATAACATGATATGTCAATCTGTTTGCGCGAATCCTTTTGGTATCCCTATATAATATAAAAAAATATTCAACGTTATCTTAATAGCCAAATGTTTATACAAATATACAATAATATTTTACTTCAAAATTACCTTTTTGTGATTATAAAATTGCTTGCTGAGGAGCTTGTAAGGAGAGTATAAATTATTGAAATTTGATTTTGGGCTTGCATGATAATTATTCCTGTAATGGTTAAATCCACCACTACCTGAATTACGATGATTACGACCTCCAGAACCATGCCAATTACTACTGTGTCTTCTGTTCTGTTCTGGCATTGGTGTACTAATATTTAAAGGAATAAAGTCATTTCCAGACTGTCTTTGACCACCATTTGGTGAAGTACACTGATAACTATCACTTTTAACATAACTATAACCTGTTCTATTTTTATGTTCGTGCGACTTCCAATTGTAATTTTTCTTTCCTTTACTACCACTCGGTGTACTTAAAGGAGACTTTTTCATTTTGTTATTTACGCTATACTGCTGTTTCATAGAGTCTACAAATATTTACAAATAATATTTTCTACAAAACGATGTATTAAAACGACGCCATATTATTTATGTTACGAGACGCTACACGACCAATCGATATCTCGATATCACATCGTATCTTAAACTGTCGATCTATCGATAGTTTTAAATACAAATTTTTTGATATATTTTTAAGTTTTATATATATCTATATTAATATTTTATCGTTTTATCATTAATATTTTCTAATGAAAAATTAATCTTTTAAATTTTATGCATATAAATAATTTCTTTTCTTTAATTAATTGTCATGATGTAAGCATGTAATATAGTAATAATATAAATTTGATATAAAATTATATATAAAATGCGTTATTGTTAATAAATATTGTTAAAAAAATATATTTTAAATATAAAAATTTTTAATTATTTCATTTCAGCATCGTGTAGTATCGTGCTTCCATCTATGAGAAAATAATTAAGAATTGCATGGTTACCAACTATACCAACGTAATTATCACAGCAATGTAGATGGCGCTAATGCGAAATATGACGCATGTGTAATGGCGCTGATGCTGGTCAGGGAGTAGCGAGATTGCCACAGATGCAGCGAATGCTTCGTCTAGTATAGGTAGAGGAGTGTAGGTCGTGCTTTGGTTCGCGCACGTTCGTGAGAGTTTATGTCCGCAATGGACGGCTTGATACCTGTTGCACGACCCGGCGCGGACCGGTTCGAGTCATTCACATATCGACGTTTGTCGTAGATAGAAAAGTGATTTATATTCCAGTGACGATGAATTGTCGTGATCATCATTGTTGACGTTTCTCGTGGTGTGACAGTACAGGCTACCATCGTTGCCGTGCGTCACGATTTTCGTGTGCAAATACAGCGCAGGATATATTTGCCACGATTGAAACAATGGGGATCGTGCAGAGTCGTGCCGGCGAAAGCGATGGCGGTGTGCGTGAAGTATTCATTGGTGGTATCAAGGGCGGCACGCCTCTTCAATCCTATCAACCTAGCCTTGGCATGGGAAGTTTGGGTGGACCACACGCACGGAGTGGCAGCGTCCGTGGCGCGCCAAGGCAACCAATGCCCGACGCTGTGGAACTCGAAAGGCGCTTCACC